CAATGTGCTTCTGTGTGATGACAGATGAGATTTGAAAGTTCAAAACAAACATATAGAACTATCCATCTTCCAATCCATTGGGGCCAATCCACCCAAGGCCCAGAAGTGAGAGGAAAACATCCTCATAGCCCAGATGCACACCCCCTGGGCTCTTGCTGGTTCTTGGAAAAATTCTCACAGACACCAAGAATCCTGGCAACCAGCTGGGCATGTGTGTGGCTCATCCTGGACAATGAAAATCCAAACGTGCCATGCACTGTGACTCTTGTCTTCCCATCCCCCCTGGCCCTCTGGAACCTCCTTGGAAAACACACACACACACACACACACACACACACACAATACAAAACGGCAGCCTCACTAGGTGGCCACTGAGGGCCTGACTCCCTCTTCTGTCATTCTTCCCAGGGCTCTTCCTCTCCAAATAATACACGCTCCAAAAAAGATAGCTCACTTCAGAAGGAAGGGGAAACTGAGCCAGTATTAACCAGGTAAGACCCTCACTTGTGAGCTAACCTTCAAAGAAGACAGTGGGGAACAGGGCACAGAAACGACTTCCCAGCAGGCAGGCAGGATTCATAAACAAGACCAAGGCAGCAGAACAGCAGTGAAATTGAAGCTGGTATTTTTCACCTCTTGAGGATATTCTCCTTGTTTATAAATAAACATGGTGCATGTGGGCCAGCTGGGGGAGGAGGGGACAAGGAAGGGGTCCAGAGGTGTGCCAGGACCTCCAACGTGATGCTGGACTGCAGCTTTGTCTCACAGACCAGGAGCAGGCCCCAGGGTGAGAGCAGGTACCCTGAGGACCGTAACAGTGGGTCAGTCCAGCGCTGGGATTAGACCTCAAATCCTCTGACTTCCAGCTCAACATTTTCCCTCTCACGATTCAACTGATTTACCCAGCTCTTACCCTATACCATACCAGAGTGCCAGGAAAGAAATCCTCAGCCAACCTAAACCTCCAATTAATGGGATCATTTTTCTGCATTACACTTTTTAAAAGCAAGCCCCAAAGAAAGCAAGCCCATGTTTAAGGATGTATCGCCTTTTCATTTATTTCCATTTGTTTTGCAATAGTTAAAGAATATCTTGAGGACAACTCACATTCTTTCCAGTCCTCTCTATTCGTACATCCTTGACTGGGACAAATAGACTTCGTGCTCCAAATCACGGTCCTGGGACAGAGCCAGATCTGCAACCATTAAACTAAGACTCTGTCTTAAACATTAGACTGGACCTTCTAAAAACTAACATTTTTTAAAAGATGTGCACTGTGGAAATAAGGGTTTCTTCTGTATAGCTTTTAGTTATTTGGAGAACTTTTAAAAATTAGAACGCTCTTTTCCCCACACAGTGAACTGGAGTTTTGGCCTAATAACCAAAGGGGAAGCTCTGGATTTATTTAGCCAACATTCTGGGCCTCAGCCAAAATTCTGTCCAAAGACAATGAGGCAACACCTGCTCCTTGGAATAAATGCTTCAGGATAGTGCATTCTCCCAAGAAGGCAGAGAGCAACCTCTGTGTGAATCTTCCAGGGCACATAAACATTCTCTCCCCAGTTTAAAATTCACTGGTGCCTAAGACTTGAGTTCTTTGTAAAGAAAACAAAGTATTGTAGAGGAGGCAAGCAGGCCAGTCATAAATGAGCCCCTGTGTTCCATGCAGATATCAACTAGGTTCTAACAAAGCCAACCTTGCCACTACGCTGACTACTTCGTCTTTAATTCTTCCTAGGCTGAGCCAACGGAGTTAGGAGGAAGACAACTAGCAAAAAAGCAGCATCTCCAATTGGTTCTCACTCCAAGAGCCTTGTCCAGTGGGCATAAGCCTGTCCTGATGCCCACTAACCTTCATGCCCAGGGGATAATACTGCCTGGCTCCCCCACTTATCCCAGAGCCTCTGAGCTCCTTCCACATAACCATCCTTAACTGAGTGCACTCAACGTGCCAGGTACTTCAAAAAAGAGGCTGGGGAGCAGATGAGGGGTCAGAGAGGGAAATAAGCCATGGTTACTGTCCTAAAAACACTCAGAGCCAATGGCAAGACACATATCTACAAGCACCATCCGGCTGTGCCTGGATGCCATCAGCTTGTCTTGAGGCCTCTGGTTGGAAGGAAGACACTCCCTCTCCATCCTCAGAACACAGTGATAGGTCTTCCTTAAATGTTCTTTGATGTCACAGAGGCTTATGAAGCCTTGAAAAAGTTTCTTATAGGAAACAGGACTGGTGGATAAAATCCCAGGATGCCATAGCAGAGGTCTTGGGAGCTTGAAAGAAATCAATTTCGGACAACTGTCAAGGACAGGCAGAGGTGGAAAGGGCATTGGACCAAAAATCCAGAGCCTGTTTTCTTCACCAGCTTACCCTGTGTCCTTGGGCAAGGCACACTCCCTCTGCAGTTTTATAGATGAGAGGGGAGAACTGATGAGTGATTTTTATTAGGGCTAAAACCCATATATTTCCCAAATTATTTTTCATTTAGACCCCGAATATACAAACCAAACAAAGGGGGAGTTACTCCTATTGATCAGGGCTGGGAGCCCAGAGCCTACCCACTCAGGCTGGATGAAAAACACAGGAGTAGATTAAGTCTGAGAGCCCCTTCCAGAGCTGGTAGTGGAAGATGCTCTGCAATTTATGTATCACATGTTCTTGAAATCTTTGTAACGGCAACATGCGGTTAACTAGCTCCTGAACTAGAATCTCTTGTGAACTGGGATCTGTTGGCAAGACGCAGACCTGGGATTTGAACCAAGGGTTTCCTGACTCCAAATTCAGTATTCCTACTCCTTACTAAGAGGTATATGGATATTTGAGCTGAATCAACAAATTCCTTGAATTGGAAATATAAATGTATGTGCATATATGCATAGGAAAAACATCTTGAAGAATATACCTTTTTGAAATTACCATTAGCAAAAAAAAAAAAAAAAAGAAGGAATTACCATTAGCTATCTGTTTGGTAATAATGTGGATGATTTTCAATTTATTTATCTATACTTTCTGATTTTCCTATAATGAGCAGGTTATTATTTATGTGAACCTGGTACTGCTTATTAAATCGGTTTTTAATAATTGACAACTGGCACTTCCATGTTAGGTTTCTAAAAAGACAGCGATCCGGGGATAGGCGGTGTCTCTGACCTTTTGGAGTTGACAGTGGAAATAACAACTCCAAATCCCACAAATTCTCCCTTGGGGCGGAGGGTCCTGGGCTGACCTGAGGGGCAATTCTCCTGGTCATTTATGTTCTCTGAAGCTTCACTTCGGGGGAGCGTGGTTTTAAAAAGTAACAGCAACACTGAGACCCCTCCCAAACATATGCCTCTTTTCTCCAACCCCCTCAGCTGCCTTGTGCAGTAGGGGAGGGGGATTCTCATAAAATTAAAGGTGGTCACATGGACCCCAGACTCAAAGCCCGCACTCTCCAGCGGGCCAGCCCCAGCCCAGTAGGACCTCTAGAAAATAAGCTCCGCAGCCAGGCCAATGAGAGTCTTGGGCTACAACCTGAGGGCCCCCCAGAAGCCACTGCCAAATATGAAGATCACACACTAGCTCAGGAGAGAAAATACTACCCTGAAGGCAAGACGGGCCTTGGTCAGGCATGAGGTGGGGCAAGGCGTTCCAGTAGCTTCCCTGTATTATTCATGCCAGCTCTGCCCTCAGAAATCTTCTAAATATTTAACATACCACCTCGAGGTACAGCACAAACCCCCAGCAGTCCGCAACAGCTGTGGAGAGGCCTGCATGGAATGAAGGATGGGGGGCCAAGAGGCACATCCACTCTGGCTTTGGGAAGAAAGCCCAGAATGGTGGCAGGGACACAAAGCTGAGAATGACTTCAGAAGGCTGCCTCTGGCTGCTTCTTTGAAAATCAGTAAAGAAGGGCAGGAGATGGGAAACGTTTCACAACGTTGGGAGTGATAGTGCACAATCAACCAGAGTCCAGAGCCCCTCTTTCCCAGACAAAGAAAAAGCTCCAGGTGCACCTCCCACCCTCTCTCTCCAGGCCAATTTCAGCCCTGGCTCCCCCTGAGCAGGTGGCAAATCTGTCCTGACTCAGGTAAAAGTGGTTAGGGAAGGAGAGGAACTGGAACAGCCATGTGTATCCCCAAAGGGAAATAAATCCACGAGGGAAGGAGCTCTTCAAATGTCTACTCAGCTCTGGGGCTTGACAGAGAAAAACGCCCCCCACCCCCACCCCCAATGATTTCACACAGGCCTCACCCCAGATGACTCTGCGCTCTCCTGCAAGGCCTGGGGGGTTGTCACTGCCACCACCCAAGCGGCGGTCTGTCACTTCGAAATTTCCCGTGAATTCCTGGAGATGCCCGCCCCTATCTCTCCCTCAAACCCGGGCCAAAAGAATCAGACATGGGGTCCGCGAGGCGTCTACCCCAAGATTCATACACGTTCCGCTATGTTCTACTTGCCTTTACCGCTGTCAATCTGAGAAACCTAAAAAGGAGTATTCTTGCAATCCCATTAGGAGCCCCGCCTTCATCTCTCCACCCTTCTCCGCGCCGACCCCTCCAGGCAGCGCCCCAGGCTCGTCTGGGCTCTGTCATTTTCACCTGACAAAAGCGTGGCGGCGCGGCGACGGGAGACCCCGCCAGCATTTCTCCCAAAGGAGACAGACGCGTGTCCCCGCGGCGCGCCCATTCGGGGCCTCTGCAAATCCCACCCACCCGGGGAACAAAAGCGGCCGGGGTTGCTGCGGGTCGCAGCCCCCAGCGCAGCCCCCGTGCGCCCCGGGCCTCGCCGCCCCGCCCGCCGGTGCCCCCGCGCCCGGGCCCGGCCCCGCAGGGCAGCAGCCGCGTCCTGTGTCGCCCGCTTGCAGGCGTCCTCGGCAGCTACTGTACCTGCTAAATTTAGCGGCCGCCGGGTATTAATAGCCGGAGCGAACCGGGCCGAGCGCTGCAGGAGCGCGCGCAGCCCGGGGGCCAGGGGCAGAGAAGGAGGGGAGGGAAGGGGCGCGGGGAAGGCCACTTACACCACCAGCCTGGAGATGATCCATGACACCATGGCGGGCGGGCGGGCGGGCGCAGCCGGGGCAGCGCTGCGCGGCTCGGCTGCGGGCGGCGCAGGCGACTGCGGCGCTCCGGGCACGTCGGTCCGCGCACGGCTGCCGCCGCCACCAGACTGAGCGCGCCCGCCGCCCTGCCCGGCGCTCGCGCGTCAGCGCAGCCGCGGCACGTTCCGGCGGCGGCGGCGGCGGCGGCGGCCCCAGCCCCCCGGGGCTCGGCGGGCCCGCGGCGATTGGGCGGTGAGCTGGTCGGGCGTCCGCGGGACCCGCCCCGACCCCATCGCCCCAGCCGGCGGCTGAATTTGGGCGGTTCCTCCGCGCTCCCTGGGGCACCCGCCGCTCAAATGGAACCCTGAGGTGGCCCCGTTGGCGGGGCAGAGACCTGAGGGTGCCATCCCACCCTCAGTGTTATGGCAGGGAAACCAAGGCCTGCACCTGGACCTTGGGAATCTATCTACACCTGTTCTGGTTGGGGATGCGGTCATCCCTCACTTGGACACTGCGGCTAGCCTCCTCAGGAACTACTTACCTGTATTCAGGCCTGGCCCCTCCAATCTGTCCCCCAAGAGGCATTATGTGCATAAGAAACAAATCTGGGCGTGTGTCTCCCCTAGTTAAAATACTAAAGAGTTTCTACATAATCTGGTCCCTGCCTGCAAACTCATTGCCGCCACCATTCCCCAAATAGCCATCTAGCTCTTTCCAACTGAGGCATTTTGGATTTACGTATGTGCTGTTCCCTCTCTCCTGTTCCTACACTCCATGCCTCTCCTCCTTCTTCAAGGCTCAGATAAAAGGTTATTTCCTGAGGAAGGTCTTTCCCAGGGGGCTGCTCCAGCATTTCTGTGTGGAATTGGCTCAAGGGTTCAGTCTGGCCAGGAAGGAGTAAGAAGCCGCCACCGCACAGCACCAGGGCCCTGCTTTTGGTGCCTTAAGCAAAAGGGAAAATGTGCATCCTACACACACGTCCTTACATATTTTTAAAATTACATTAAATATTATTTATCTTGATAACTGCATTTTATGGCACCCGCCTTAAATTTTGCCCCTAAGGCAAATGCCTCACTTTCCTCACCCTGGTCCTGGCCCTTATTATATAAGTTCTGATACATTATTCCCTTATGCTTGGAAAACCTTTGTCCACTGTTCCTCTGTTCTGCCTCTGCCTTTCTTGCCCCCCTCCATGGTGCTCTCCCAGAGCACTATTCCCCTTTACTGATGCTCATGTCATGTATAATTCAGTGTCAGATGGGAGAGGCACCAGAGAGAGCTGGCTTGAAGCTTTCTTTAAAGGAGCCCTGCCCAACATGGCTTGCTTCCTAGCAGAGGCAAGATGACCTCAGACCTTGACAGAAAGAGGCTGGAAATGTACTAGCAATGTGTGTGTGTGTGTGTGTGTGTGTGTGTGTGTGTGTGAGAGAGAGAGAGACAGAGAGACAGAGAGACAGAGACAAAGACAGAGAGAGAGAGAGAGATAGAGATGCAGGAAGAAGAAAGACCTTGCCCACAATAAGGGGACTGAGGTGAGACATCTATGACAAGGGGTCTCCAAAGGACCTATAAAATACCTGTAATTAGCTTAGTTTAGTTGTTGTTTAATGCTGTCTTGACCCAGTTTTGAGGCCCTGGCTAGAAGTTGATCAGTTCCCCTTTCTTGCGCAGCCCATTAAGTCCACACCCCCAACCACCTCCTTATCAGGCTCTCACACTTCAGGCCTAATCACTCCAGAGTCAGGTACCAGGCAACCAGGGACAGCTCCTTTGCCCTAGAGCCTGCTGAAATTATTCAAAGAAGCCAGTGCTAAACCTGCTTGTTCGGCCTTGCTCTTTACTTCCTGCAGAAACCACAGTTCCCTCTCTCCCTCTGCCTTATAACCTACTCCAGGGTTTACACCCTCCATGGCATGCTGTGTTCTGTCCAGGGAACTTTGAGGGTAACAAAACTGTAAAACTTTATGGTTTCTCTCCCTTGATCTGTGTCTAACCTCACCATGCCTTACCCAAGCTAACACGGCTAAAACAATACCCCACAAGAAAAAGCTTGGAATACCTACTAGGAAGATCAGGATAGTACCAAGTAAATAGGACCTTCCTGAGACCTCCCCTCCCCTCCATCCATGCCTTTTGGCTGCCTGGAGAGGTCTGAATATGCTGTTAGCAAACTTGGGGAGTGGAATATTATGGTTCAAAGATATCCTTTTGGTGGAAAAACAGGAGAATCTCTCCCTATACTGTTTCTCTCCTGGGAGCATGTCCCCTATTCCTATAAATGGAATTCTCCTATAAATGGAATTTTACTATTACACACAACTGGACAGTTTAATTCATGAAATGAGACCATTCATAGGATTAAAATATCTAAATATCTGGAAGTCTCCCTGTTGTCTGAAGAAGACCAGAAAAGTAACGGGACAAACCCCAGAATTCAGTCAAGGTTTGGGAAAAAACGTTCCACACAGCAAATTTCAACCGGCAGAGGAGGGAAAAGAGTGAAGAGAGAAGAAAGTTGCATTTTTACTTCATTTTATCTCGGGGCAACTGTTACACATATTACATCTCTCCACCCTAGACCCCCTCCAGTTTGTCCTAGACCCCGGGAAACTTGAGGCCAGGGAATGGACACAGCCTTCTTGACAACAGAACTTTTAGAGCCTTATCAGTTGTTTCACTTTATGTTCTTTTTCACATGAACTGCTGTTATGATGGATGCTTATTCTCTGGGTTTGCCCCCACACCCTTCCCCTTTCTTCTGAGAAGACCTCTCCATTTTGTATTGGAGAATGATTCTTCCCACACTCCAGTCTTTAAAAATGTCATTTTCTCACGTGTCCTTACTACTTTGATTGGTTCCTGGGTGATCACTGAACATAAACTGGGCCAAACTTCCTCCCCAGGATTTTTAAAGTTGAAAATAGGAAAAAAAGACTCCACTCCCATCCATGAAGCACTACCTGCTATGGGAATGGTCCTTATATTGTAAACAATTAGAAAACTAGAGAAAAATATACCAAGCAATTGGACAACAGGCAGGCCAGGATTGTGACAGCTATGAAAAGGAAACTAACTTATGTGAGCCCTGCAAATGGTTCCAGTTGTTTTCTGTTTCAACGCAGTTTGCAGGTATTACTGCATGAGGGGGAACCCGAACAAAGCCCAGCAATCTCAAAGAGTTCAGAAGACAGAGATCAGTGTTCAGGAAGGCTGGAGTAGCTAGAATTTGGGGAGCAGAGGATCAGAGAGGAGGGAGCTGCAGAGAGAGAGAGAGAGAGATCCAGAGATGTGCAGAGGGAGCCCCTCAAGTCTTTAGCTGAATACTGTTTAGAACATGCATGGGTGAAATTGCAGGAGGCCAGGGGAAGAACCACCAAAAAGCAGTGTGCCAAATAATTCCTGGAGCTCACACAGAGCTGGGAATATTTTATCTTCACACAAGCCAAAATGGAGAGATCTCTTAATACATGAAACACTGGCTAGAGCTCTCAAGAGGGGACTTAGTATTAGGGGGAAATTAGCTCCAGACTAAAAATTGAGATGGACTTTCCTTAACAAAGCTCAAAAGCAAGAGCCAAAAAGATCAAATTTATCCCAAGTAATTTAACTGTGCTCCAGAAAAACAAACAAACAGTTCAACACTATTTAAAGAAAAACAGAGGGCACCTGGGTGGCTCAGTTGGTTAAGCGACTGCCTTCGGCTCAGGTCATGATCCTGGAGTCCCGGGATCGAGTCCCGCATCGGGCTCCCTGCTCAGCAGGGAGTCTGCTTCTCCCTCTGACCCTCTTCCCTCTCGTGCTCTCTATCTCTCATTCTTTCTCTTTCAAATAAATAAATAAAAGCTTTAAAAAAAAGAAAAACAGAAAAATCCAATACTCAGTATGGTAAAATTTATAATGTCCAACATGCAAACAAAAATTATCAGGCATGAAAAAGAACATGACTGGGGCACTTGGGTGACTCAGTTGGTTAAGTGTTTGCCTTTGGCTCAGGTCATGATCTTGGGGTCCTGGGATCCAGCCCCCCATCAGGCTCCCTGCTCATCGGGGAGTCTGCTTCTCCCTCTCCCTCTGCCCTGCCCCCGACCTGTGCTCTCTCTCTCTCTCTCAAATAAATAAATAAAATCTTAAAGAAAAATGAAAAAATGAGAAAAAGAACATGATTCATAAGTAGGAGAAAGAAGATTGATAGAAACAGACCAAGAAATGACAGAAATGATGGAATTAGCCAAGATCTTAAAATATATAATATTTGAACAGACATTTCACCAAAGAAAATACACAAATGACATAAAAAGAAAAAAAAAGACATGAAAAGATGCTCAATATCATTAGGGAAATACAACTTGAAACCACGATGAGATACAACTACCCATCTACAACAATGGCTAAAATTAAAGACTGACCTTACTCAGTTATGACGAGGATGAGGAACAACTAGAACTCTCATACATTGCCAATGGGAATGTGAAATGGTTTTTCCAAAATGGTTTGGCAGTTTCTTTTAAAATTAAACATATACTTTATATATGACTCAGAAATTCCACTTTTTATTCAGCCAAGAGTATTGCATACACATGTCCATACAAAGACTTGTTCATTGTAGCTTTATTTATAATTCACATTCATTCTTAATTTTGCATGTATAGTTTTGAGGACCCAGCCCCCAAAAGTTGCAGGCCTGAATATGCCCCTGCATGTTTTATTGTATTTAACTTGCATTCCCTACTGTGGACAGTGAGATTGAATTTTATCTGTTAGTCAGCTATTTATGTTTCTTCTTTTGAGAATTGCCTTTTCTTATTCCTTACCACTTTTCTATTGGAGTGCTTTTGCCATTTTCTTACTGGTTTCCAAAAGTTCTTTAATAAGGTTACCAACCTCTTGTGTGTCATGTGTGTTAGAATTTTCCCACTCTGCCAGTTGCCTTTTAAATCTATCTCTTGTATTTTTGACGAACATAATTTTTTAATATATATTAATTTATATTTTATGCTAATACAGCAATTAATCTTTATCTCTAATGCAGAAACTTGATATTTATCTTT